GAAAGAGACACAATATTATATACTGAGGGAAAGTGTTATCTCTATAGAGACAAACTGATACTAGAAAATCTGAAATGCCCATGTTCTCTAAACTATAGCCAGTGCTTCTTGAAATTATTTGATGTATTTTATTTTAAAGTGTTTAAAAATAAATTTAGAAAATCCCTGCACACAACCTTGGCACACAAACATCCACTGAAATACTACACTTTTGGTTGCCCTTTAGAGAAATTGTGAGCGTTTCCACAGGTTGCCCGTTCCATGTAGATGGAGGTGTTATTGAAAAGTTCTGGGAGCGGGGGGAAGTGAGAGAAACCACTGCATTAAATGCGCAAGGAATAAACTAATACTTGACGATGGGGTTGCTGACCTCCAAGTGGGGCCTGGGGATCTCCTGGGATTCCAACTGATCTCCAGACTATGGAGACAACTTCTCCTGGAGCAAATGGCCTCTTCAGAGGGAGAATCATATTCCACGAGGTCCCTCCCGTCCCCACACCCTGCGCTTTCCAGGCTCTGTCCTCAAGTCTCCAGGAATTTCCCACCCTGGTGATGGCAACCGTAGTTGACAAGCATCAGGGCTATTTTGGGGCAGGAACGCACAGGAACGGAGTTTCGGCTGGCTCCCAAGTTGGCCACGCCCGGCAGGAACTCATTAGCATAATAGGCCACACCCAACAGCAGAAACTCATTAGGATTGGCTACGTTAGGGGTGTGTGGCCTAACATGCAAAGGAGTTCCTGCTACAAGAAAAGCCCTGGGTTTTGACAACAAACAGGGTAAACAGAATAAGAAGCAAAAGGTGGGTGTGGCTGGATGACTACACTTCTGGTAACATGGGGGTGCGCCCTAACATGCTAATGGGCTGTGTTGTCAGGGGTGTGGCCTAATATGCTTATGAGTTTCTGCTGTTGGGTGTGGTCTATTATGCTAATGAGTTCCTGCTGGACTTTTTCTACAAAAAGAGCCCTGAAAGCATTACCCCAATTACACTAACAACTCAATACTGCACCAGGTCTAAACCAATAGAAAAGCAATCTATACTTCCTTCTTAACAAACTTTTAAGAATATTAGTACCTTATCTATGGTATGCTACAGGCACAACACAAACTGCTGACTACTATCGTTTAAGAAAACAGGATCTGTGTTAAAGGTTAGTTTAGATTAGTTTGCCCTATGAGGCAAGGAAAGCAGACTTTTAGAGACTTCAACTAAAACACAGATAACAGTGCTGGCACATCCCACTCAGTCCTTTAAAACTAACAACATTTGTGGTAGGGTAGGAGCTAGGTTGACGGGAGCTGGAGCCAGAGACGGGGGCTCACTCCGTCATGCAGCACTCGGGTCTCGAACTGCTGAACTACCGACCTTCCAGCCTGCAGTTCAGCATCCTACCCTGCCACAAATTTTGGTAGTCTTTAAAATGCTACTGGATTACTCTAGGGTTGCCAAGTCTTACCTTAGTTTTAGCGGGGGAGTCCCAGGCCCTGTCCTGGAGTTCCTCAGTGTGTGCACGAAGTGCGCGTGCCACGATGACATCACCCAGAAGTGACGTCATCTCATTGGGCATGTTGGGGGTGGGACCCACTATCATTTGAATGATAGAGCATCCCCCCACAATGTGGTCGTCATCACGCTGGGCACGTTTCCACGATCCCAGCATTTTGGGGGTGGGGTTCCCCTCAGCGGCCTGATCCGGGCTGGTGGGTAATGGACCCATCAAGCGGGGGTTTTCCCACCCCCCTGGGGGACCTGGCAACCCTAGATTACTCTTCTCTACTGCTACAGACAGACTAACACGGGCTGCTGCCACACACGCTAAGTAATCCACTTTCAATCCACTTTCAGTGCACTTTCAAAGTGGATTTTGCCAGTTCACACAGTAAAACTCCACTTTGAAAGTGCACTGAAAGTGGATTGAAAGTGGATTACTTAGCGTGTGTGGCAGCAGCCACGACTATCCATTTTAATTTGGTTCTTTCCCTGGCCTTCACAGACGTGACTGCGCTATGGCTCATTCACATTTCACCTTTTCCTCCCTCCATCCCCAAAATTTAAGAGTCGCTTCTTCAAGTGAGGGGTATCTTAACAGCCAATATTTTGCAAAGTGGCTTCTGGCTGCAGTGAATATAAAATGAGGGTTATTCTAGTTTCCGTAGGTAACAATTTCCCCAAGATGTTTGCAAACAATACCTAAAGGAGTAGAAAAGACCATGAAAGCTCCTACTCGGCCACAAACTTTGTTAGTCCTTAAGGGGCTACTAGACTCCTGCTCTTTTCTACAGCTACAGACAGACTAACACAGCTACCCATCTCGATCCATATCTAAAGGCAAATCTACCTGTAAGGTTTTATTGATATACTCACAATTTGCCTCCAAAGTGTCTTTGCCAAACAACATAGCCAGTAACAATGGAAAACAAATGTTCAGTTGAAATATGTTTCCAGCCCTCCCTAAGTTTGTTAATTTATGGGGACCAACTTACCAATATGTGCATAATTATGTCCTCTTTTCCCAAGCTAAACTGAATTCCCCTGCCACCCCACCCCCCAATTTCCAACTCTGCCCAATTAAAGCCTGGTTTGGAGAGCTTTCCTAATTGTAAATCTAATTTGTTTCCCCAATTTCCATGGACTCTAAAAAGATGTGATATTTTAACAGTGACTTAGGGCTTTCTTTACCCATCCATGGACGTCACTTCCTCCTGTCCCTATGGAGTCGGTGGGAAAGTCTCTAATCTGGAAATATTCATCTCGTGATGACCCACATCAATAATCTTTTCCTGTTTTGTGCTCTGGCTGACCTCAGAGAAGGCATTCTCGAATATCGATAGGATGGAGCATTTCAGCCTTTGCCTGATACCACGCCCCATGAAGATATACAGGATGGGGTTGAGGCAGCTGTTGACGAAGGCCAGGCCGGATGACAAAAGAGCACCAGCAGTGAGTATTGGATACAGTGATGGGTCCTCGTGGGCTTGAACTTTAAGGAAAGAGAAAACATGATATGGGAACCAGCAGATGAAAAAGGCCACAATCACTGCGGTGATGACCTTGAAGGGCTTGCTGGATGGGGTTAAGCGGTCCCTCCTGAGCTGCAGAACAATCACCCCATAGCATACAGTGATAACACTGAAGGGGGCAGCAAAGGTTAAGATGAACTGGCTGATCACCATGGCGCGGTGCAGGATTTTGGCTTGTTCCATGTCACTGCTGAATTCCCTATAGCACCAGACGACATCCCCTGTACGCATGGTCTTCCTGAATTGGAGGTTTGGAGAACTCAATGCCAGGGCCAGAATCCAAACACCCAAAGCCACAAAGGAAGCCAGGCGGAGGGTCCGGTGATTCCGAGACCACACAGGGCATCTCACAGAAATGCAACAATCTACACTAATGATCATGAGGAAGTAAACGCTTGCGTGGAGATTGACTAAGACCATGGTGCTGCAGAACTTGCACATGGCCTCCCCAAAGGGCCAATGGAAGTTCAGGGCGAGGTGGACAATGTTCAGTGGCAGGAAGAAGGTGAAGGTGAAATCAGCGACCGCTAAGTTGAGGAACCAGATGGTGTTGACCGTCTTCTTCATACGGAAGCCGGTGATGAAAATGACCAGCCCGTTTCCGATGACCCCAAATAAGAAGGTAAGGCTGTTGACAATCATGGAGAAGATGCACAGCAACCTTTTTTGGGACACAGGCTGCTCATTCATGACACTGGAATTATTATAGGCAAGAGCGACCAGTAGAGTTGTGTTCTCCATTTCCTTTCAGGGAAGCTCTCCTTCACTTTTGTCTTCTGTCTTCTCCTGGATGAAGAACACAAGAATGTAAGTACTGCCTTGTGGGATCTGATCATCATCCACCTACTTGAGCAATCTGTACCCAACAGCAACTCACCAGCTACCTGTGGAGTTTCACAAGCAGTACATGAAAAGGACACCTTTGCTCTGGAATTTGTGCCCCAACAGCTGGTTGCCAGAAGCAATTATACTTTGCACATTAGACACCTTGTCTATTGGGCAGCTGTTTTGAGAAGACAAGAGCAGTAAGGCGTCTCTCCTACTCCGTAACCTGGACTCAGAAAGTTTTATAACACCTCATATCTCCTTCCTTCCTTCCTTCCTTCCTTCCTTCCTTCCTTCCTTCCTTCCTTCCTTCCTTCCTTCCTTCCTTCCTCACTAGAACCCTGTAAGTATTTTTGTATGATGTTCTATGCATCTTCTATGTTCAATATCTTACTTATCACAAGGTTGTATGATACTGATGTGTTCTCGTTTTGTATATATGTTGTAATAAACTCAATAAAATCTTAAAAACTTAGAGCAGGTGATAGCAGTCAATCAGCCTGCCCTCCACAATGTGACTCGATCTTTCCCAGAGCCATTGAACTCATGGCCAGGGGTCATTTCATAGAAAAAGAGCTAGGGGAACTCATTAGCATAACCCATTAGCATATGCCACACCCCCTGACATCAGGGGCCCGGCGGTGGACCTGCAAGGCCAGCGGGAATATGAGGAAGCCCCGCCAAGGCCCTCCCTGGCCCCAGGCAGGCAGGGGTGGGGAGAGGCGGGGAGGAAGCAACTTACCCTCCCTCTTCTCCTGCCTCCTCCTGGCTGAATGAGGGCTGGAAGCGGGGCGGCTGGAAGCCGGGGCGGGGCTTCGTCATGTGCCCCGCCCCCTGCACCTCACCCGGGGGAACTGTGTTCCCCCGCGTCCCCCCCGAAATGACCTCTGCTCATGGCTATCACCAACACTATCTGTGGCCACAAGTTCCACATGTTTCAGGGGTAGTTAAGAGCAGCATCAGCCCAAGGCCGTGGCAGAAATCATACGTATTTAACACCCAGAATAAAATCTGAAAAAAATTGGCTAGAACATGTAAAGGCAAAGCATTATAAAAAACCTTACATGATGTAACTAAGCCCCACATCCTAATTTCATCAAAAGGCAGAGTTATGGAGATCAGCAATAGTTCCATCTCAGTGCCGGAATAGCTAGATTTTCAAAGCACAAGTCTGCCAGTCAAGTCGCCAACAGGAACCTGTCCAAGAGGAAGAACATTTCAAACAGAATAGCTGGGGTCAGAGAGGAGGCATGAACTCTTCTTCCACCCACAACGTCTTTTTTACCAGAACTTCTTCTCCAGCCTGTTTCCCCACCCAGGCAGGTTCACTTCTAGAGGGGGGAAAATGGGAGGGAAATTTGGCAGCCAACTAACTCAGCATGAAATTCTTTTCCCCTCAGGTGTTCTTGGCAGGGACCCAGGGGTCATTTCCTGCAGGAGCTCACAGGAGCGGAGCTCCGGCAGTAAAGAGCCCAGGGGGCAGGCACATGCAACAAGCCCCACCCCCTGCTTCCAGCAGCCCTCAGTCAGAGCAAGAAGCAGCCAGGTAAATTGCAGAGCTTCCCCCGGCCCCCTGGTCCAAAACAGTCCCATGGCACCTTTAAGACCAAGTTTTATTCAGGTACAAGCTCTCCCTCCTCTGTGAGGACAGATCTGCACATTCCCCCCCCCTCAATAGTTAGAAATCCAAAACAGTCCAGTGGAGCCTGAGCGGTGGGTGTTGCCTTCTGACACACTTCCGGTGATGCCAGGGGGTGTGGCATATGCAAATAAATTATGCTAACGAGTTATGCTAATGAGCTCCTGCACCTTTTTTTCTACAAAATGACCCCTGCAGGGACCAGTGTTTGAAGACAGATCTGCACCATCTACAGCTCTGGTGCTTTGTCATGCTTTAGGAGGCATTATTATTCTCCATCAAATTCTGGTGGTGTAGGATTTGGATTAACACACAAACACAGAGATGGGGGGGCACAGCCAACCTACCATGATCAGGGGTCATTTTGTAGAAAAAGAGCTAGGAGAACTCATTAGCATATGCCACACCCCCTGACATCACCGGAAGTGTGTCATAAGGGGAGAGGCAGGGAGGAAGCAACTTACCCTCCCTCTTCTCCTGCCTCCTCCTGGCTGAATGAGGGCCGGAAGCGGGGCGGCCAGAAGCAGGGGGCGGGGCTTTGTCATGTGCCCTGCCCCCATACCTCACCCGGGGGAACTGCAATCCCCCTGCGATCCCCCCCCCGAAATGACCTCTGCTTGATATATGTGGCTGTCTTGTTTCTTGGGCCAGCTTTATTTATTTTTTTATTCATTAGTCCTCCCTCCCCTGTATGTAGTACTCAGGGCAGGGAGCAACATTTCCCAAAACAGCATTCACAGTTGGGTTAAAATTTAAAGATCTGAAAGAATTAAAGTAGCTTAACAATTTAGCTGACAATTTAGCTGACAATTAACAGATGGCGCACAAGGGACACAATTTAGTGTCCTTTTCCCCATGGAGGGAGAAGGAAGGAAGGAGCCAGGCTAGATGGAAAACCGTTGCAGTCCTCAACAGGCCTGGCGGAAATGGATGGAAAAGGTGAAAAGCTCCTCAGAAGTGACGAATAGAAATTTCTAGAATTTTACTGAGAAGGTTCCACGCTACTTCAAGGGAAGTGAGGACTGTGGTGCTTATCTTGGAACTCAGAGTTAATTATTTCCTCAGAATAATTGAAATATCTGGATCAGTACTGCAAAGCCCAGGACAGACAATTTGACAGTCTATGAATTGTTAGCATCCAAAATATATAAACCGAATCAGAACATTTATTTGCAAGTTCAGGAAAATATTTCCTATTGATACTGAACATCTTTGATACAGTTTGGTGTAGTGGTTTGGTGTAGTGGTTAAGTGCGCGGACTCTAATCTGGGAGAACCGGGTTTGATTCCCCACTCCTCCACTTGCACCTGGCTGGATGACCTTGGGCAAGCCCTAGTTCTGATAAGAGCTGTTCTTGAAAAAGAGCTGTTTCTGTCAAGAGTTCTCTCAGCCCCACCCACCTCACAGGGTGTCTGTTGTGGCGAGGGGAAGGGAAAGGAGTTTGTAAGCCTCTCTGAGACACCTTTGGGTCTCCAATCTCTTCTCTTCTTCTTCTAAACAATCCAGCCATTAATTTACTCATTAAACAGCCTGCTATGTTCAGCTGTGACAACTACGAGGGAGTGGTTCTCTTCTTATGAATCACTTGAGCACTATGATAAAGAGAATTCTGATTGTGAAAATTCCAACCAGACACAGGTCAAATCTTGGATTGTGCAGAATGGTGTAGGTCGATGGGAAGAAATGGAAGCCCGGTCTGCTTTTGGGGGACACCACCAACCACCACTGATTAAACGTCAAATATTTACAGCTTCTTTCCCTTTCAAGTTGGTTTGCAAATCCAAATTAACTGTATAAAGTACAGTAAAGCCCCAGGTAACTGGGCAATGAAAAAAGCTGACAGGGAGAAAATTGATTCATCTGAAATATGGTGTCGGAGGAGAGTTTTATGGATACTACGGGCCACCAAAAAGATAAACAAGTGGGTGCTAGATCAAATCAAGCCTGAATTCTCCCTAGAAGCTAGATTGACCGAACTGAGGCTGTTGTTCTTTCTTCACAGCATGAGAAGACAAGACTCACTGGAAAAGACATTAATGCTAGAAAAAAAGCTGACGGCTGCAGAAAAAGAGGAAGACCCAACCTGAGATGGACGGACTCAATCAAGGAAGTCACAGGCTTCAGCTTGCAAGACCTGAGTAATGCTGCAAACTTCAGGATGTTTTGGAGGTCCTTAATTCATAAGGTTGCCATAAGTTGGAAACAACTTAGACAGCAACACACCCAATGCCCCGTCCTCCCCAAATGTCTGCAGTTTATAGCCCATCAAAAGCCCTAGTGAACAAAATAGTCTCATGCAACACCTTCTCTAGGTGGCGCCCACGTCACCTCCCCAAAGTGCCCATTCCCTAAGTTGGGGGCTGCCATAGGAAAAATAATAGGCTCTGGTTGATGCCACCTCAACTGCTTTAAAGGGGGGAACTACTAGTAGGTGACAACCAGAAGACCGCAGCTGGTCTACAGGGACATAATTTAATTCCTCTTTGAAAGACAAAATCTCGTTCTTTGTTTATATCACGAGAAGACAAGACTCACTAGAAAAGACAATAATGCTAGACAAGGATGAGGTAAAGGTAAAGGTTCCCTTGCTCGAAAGCCAGTCGAATCCGACTCTAGGGTTGCGGTGCTCATCTCCGTTTCAAAGCCGAAGAGCCAGCGCTGTCCGAAGACGTTTCCATGGTCATGTGGCCAGCATGACTAAACACCAAGGCGCACGGAACGCTGTTCCCTTCCCACCGAAGTGGTACCTATTTATCTACTTGCAATTTCTTGCTTTCGAACTGCTAGGTTGGCAGGAGCTGGAACTAGAGACGGGAGCGCACTCCGTCATGCGGCAACCGGGTCTTGAACTGCTGAACTACTGACCTTCCACAGCCTGCAGTTCAGAGTCTTAACCACTTGAGCCACCGCAGCTACCCAGAGGGAGCATTGGACGGGGGTAAATCATTTCTCTAAGCTGGGCAGAGTGCTCTGAATATGACTCTGTCCCCACGCCTGAAAAAGGCAAGTCAAACTGGGGCTATTATTATTTCACGGAATACTTCCTTCTGTCAGTCCTGAATCTATTGCCAACCACCTTCACAGGCAACACTCCCTCTAAGCTGTGGAGTCTTGTGAGCAAAAATTCTACCTTGTGAACTACTGGCATTACAGTTGTGAGCGAGCGATTTGGGTACTGCATAAATTAATATGCTCTGGAGCCATCCTTCCTGATCTAAGACAAAA